AACAAAGTGCTTGAAAAGAAAAAAAGTAGGTAGATTTATCCCCAATACACATTTTTACCAGTGAAAAACAATAATATACAAGCATTTAATATTTATATATGTGATAGAGTCAGATCACCCCAGAAGTCAGTCCCACATCCAGGGCCGTATCAAGGCATTTGGGGACCAAGGCAAATATAGGCTTGGAGCCCCCACCACCTCACTCCCTGATCAGTTAATATAAGATGGCAGCGTGCTGAGAGTAGAGATTGTTGTTGCTTTTATTTAATAAACAATCATTTTAAAGCACTGTTATTATATCTGACTGTTTTTAACAGCAATCCTAGCTCAGATACCACATCACCTTCCACATATATGTCATGAACTCACTGAGCATCACATTACCAGATTCATATTGAAGTTGTATTGGTGAAAGTAACTTAGAGTAATGCAAAAGTAGTGTAATGCCTTACATTTTAAAATCAGTAATTTTGTAATGTAATGAATTAAAAATGAGGGTAACAAGTAATAAATAATGCATTACAGTTTTGAAGTAACTTGCCCAACACTGATGGAGTTTTACTCCTTTTATATTTGTGATATGCAAACATCTGACCTCTGATTGGCTAACAGCAATGTGACTCTTCTGCTGTCTTCTTACGTAGAAACGCAACACTGATGTTTTATCTCTTCAAAGAACACAATCCCAAATGTGTTCCGCCATGTTGTAAAGTTGCAAACGCTAATGTTTAGCTTCTATTAGACAAGACGCGCTCTAACCTCTCTTGGCTGCAAAATCAACACAGCTTCCCATGTTCTTAAGCCAAGGTGGGTGAGTCCATGGTAAAATGGTCTGTATTTGTAAAGCGCCTTCTTTGGGTTCGACAACCCCACAAGGAATTTTACAACCCATGTCATTCACCCATTCACAAACACATTCACACACTGGTGGGGATGAGCTACAATATAGCCACAGCGGCTCTGGGGCGCACTGACAGAGGCGAGGCCTGCCGTACACTGGCGGGTTAAGTGTCTTGCCCAAGGACACAACAGCAGCATTCTCTAGTGGGAGCCAGGATCAAACCTGCAACCTTCCGAATACTGGACAACCCGCTCTACTGCCTGAGCTTCTGCTGTCCAATGAATACTAATTTTTCCTGTGACATAGAAGACAATGCTGTTTCTTACCCAATCGTTTTCCCATCTATTTTATTTCTGAGACTAATGCCGGCAATAGGGGTTGAAGAAAAATGTTAACGCTCAGCCTGCATATTCAGCTCAGAGTAACAGACCGTTTTTCATAAAGAACAAATATTAGACCGTTTCTCAGTAAGCAGGCCCTTTAAAGCTGTAAAAGCATAATTTCCAATTGTGAAAATGTTTCATCATGATTACTAATTATACATTTTGTTGTAGTGATAAGATTTGAAACAGAAGTTTAAGACATACAAATGACAAATATTAACTTACACTCTCATTGGCCACAAACTGGAGAAAATAATTACTCACTAAAATGATTAGTCATAAAAATAATACAATTTGAACATTCATCAGCTGTCCGGATTTGCTGCATACTGACCATACAAGTGGCATAAAAAGAGATGCACGCGCACACACAATACCGCTTTCCAGCACACACATTCTCATTTCCTCTCTGGACACACACGGACATGCTAATCTTGGATTATCACACAGGGCTTTTCAAGGGCACTGTTTTATTTGCCCTGATGTGCAGCGGTTCACTCAAGGCTGAAGGATGCAGCTCCTTCAACTAAAATGTCACAAGGGTCACACAAACACACAGGTAGCAAACAGGAGAAGGCTGATTTCTTTCCAACAGGTAGTTGCCCTTCACCAGGCAGGCACATTTACAGGCGCATGCTGTAAACACTGCAGAACATAAAATGCACGTCTGCAGTCTGCACAACCACTGGATAAAGCTCCTCAACAACATAGCCACGGAATAGTCTTGAGCCCTGAGGCTTAAATATTTCAGGATTGGAGTTAAAATGTACAGAAATATTCTTGTTGTTGAAGTTAGTGAGAAAGACACATCTGAAAGAAAATTTGAATGTTTTCAGCAAAATTTTATGTTGGAATGTGGTCGTAAGAATCGGAGTGACTATTTTATTGGACGCTTGTGGATTTTAAAAAAAAGTGTTTTTGGTCTAGATGGCTCTTGTTTGGCAGTGATATGCAGCTTTGAATAGTGAGTTAAGACAACATTTTGAATTTCTGAGTGTTTGGACAAAAGTGTTTTCTATTAAGCCTAATTGGTGCTTCTGCGTCAGCTCCGCGAGGCACCGACAGATATGTTTTGCTTTCGGACTTCTCTGTTTCCTGGGGAGTGATGCAAAGCAATTCCCCACCAGGACAAAGGACATATCGCTTTTCTGGGGTATCTTGCCATGTATCCTGTCCACGATACTGTTGTGTTTATATTGTGCTTTTAGTATTTCAGAGACTTGTTAAACGGGACAAATTTGTTCCTCATTCTCCTCCACCTCTTCATGCACTCACCACCTTTAAACTCATGTTTCCTGTCATTTCCGTCCATGAATAAAATGCTTGCTGCGTATCTTTATACTCCTACACGGGTGAATAAACGTTCATATTTTCAGAGTTTTCCCACAAGATATTATTCAAACTGCTCCATGTTTGCCGCTAGATATCTTCTGGTCTCCTTTTATTTCTTTGATGGGGCAATGGCGGTGCTGTTGGTGAATTTCAAGGAAGCGTTATCCTGGCCAGTCACAAGTTTGTGGTCTCCGTCTTGTTTGACGGATGTTTAGAAAATTGGGCCCTTGCAGGCCTGTTGGAGAGCCCTCACAACCACGAATAACAGCGTTGCGTGTCTCCGTCCTGACGCGGATGGAGGAGCATAAATTAGGCTTTTAGGTAGCAGAGTCATTAGAATAACAGGAATCCTAGTTTTTCAATAATTTGTATAGTACATAGAAACTGATAAACACTGATTTGACCAGGAAATATGTAAGTTGCTATGTAATGTCTCATTTGTGAGATAGATTCATAAGCTTATAAACACCATCACTCTAAACATAACCAATCAGTGAAAAGCTCAGCCTATGGTGATACATTCATCCAACTGCTCAACCTTAGTTCAGATAAAGGCATCGAGTGTGTATGTCTGTTTCTCTGTAGACAAACTGCCTCCCTGCACTGTGGTACTCTACGGATGCATATGCACTGATGATTTCAACAGTTTAAATTCTAGTTAGCAGGATCATGCAGTTAAAAATAATAAAAAATATTATTGATTTTGTTTTCTCAAATTACTGTAAAATGTCTTTTCTAATTCTGTGTATTTATTTTTGCATGTTTCCCTATAAATCCTGCTAAACTTTCAGGTTTGCTTCTTTCATTCACAGCATCTCATTCTACTCTTCTGCACGACGCTAAATATCACCAAGAAGCAAATTCTGAATTCCATCGATTAGGTTTGGCGGTTATATCTAAGAAATATTTCAGATTCCCCCGCTGGAATCCATCATTTAGTACTTGATAGTGCAATGGCTCACAACAAACTCTCCCCACGCAACCGCTAGGCTAACACTCCACCTGAAATATGCATCCACTCCATTTTGCCAGAGAAGGATCCACTTTGCCATAAATATTCTCACTTCATGAATTCACCCGGTGCATTAGAAATTGAGATGCATGCGTAATCATCAGCAGTGGGATTAGTTTGAAAACACAAAGGATTGTGTGAGACTACAATAGACACTTGACTGAGTTCTTGAATGATTGATTTATTCAACCGTATCACACTCTCACGCGTAGCAAATCTCATTCATGTGCTGCTCAAAATGCAGCGATGAATACTCCGACATTCACTTGGGATGGCAGAATCAGAATAAGACTATGCATGAAATTGATACTGTAGGCTTTGAAGATCTTGACAAAAATTTTCTAAATTATTTGACACCTTTAGAAATGTATTAATGCAGATAAAAGTCTCATCAATTAACCAGTTTTTAAAAATGTATTTAGACAGACAGCAGGTGACTATATTAACAGAGATAGAGGGGGAAACAAGTGCTTAAAATGATGGATATAAAATAAACAAAAAACATGTAAACACAAATTAACCCACCCCAGAACCCCCTAACTGAAAGAATAATTATACATTCATTTTAAGACTTTCAGTGATCAAAATGGGAATTGTGTTGGGTCTATTTTGCAATCTTGTTCCAAAATGTGTCCAAAAGTGGATTAACTAGATATGCTAGCAATATTTCCTTCACCATAGAGATTTTAAAAAATAATGAAAGTTTTCAGAATTAATTAAGGCTGCTCTATTGTGAGTGATGTTTTCACTTCTGCAAATCCTTTAGTTTGCAAATAAATACTTTGGTAGACCGATTTATCGGTCAGCAGATATTTCGGGCCTATGTTTTGGCCGATATTAGTCAAAAAAACAATTTAAAGTCAGGCACATCCACGGGCAGCCCAGTGCTGTAGCAGAATTTAAGTTTAATGTATTTTTATGTTCATGAATAACATCTGCATAATAAATACTCTAAATTAACTTTATTTAGGTGTCTGACTTTAAAACTACACAAAGTTAAGATTTTCAACAGTAAGTTCAAAAACTAATTCAGCTTCAGAATTTTGTGCATCCGCGGATGTTATTAGTGACATTTTAGCATGAAAATAAAGGGGAAAATGTTTTTATCGGCCCAGAAAATCGGCTCATATAAGTCGGCCAGCAGTCGACCATATCCTATATATCGGCATCAGTATCTGCAATAGAAAAACAATATTGGTCGACCTCTAATTCTGTTTGATTTGTGCACAATATTAGATAGTATATTTTCATGAGATGTAAAATTGAATGCATATATTTCAACACACAGGTGGGAGTCTTTCTTCAGGAAATGTTGCATTTTCAGGTAATTTTGTCAGCGTCTCATAACAAAATGCACATAAAACGTTGTGGTAATGTTACGTGTTTCTTGAGTCCTGTTTGCTTGTCAGTGGTGAGGTGTTTGGTACTCTACCTATGATAACATGAGTCCCCAGTCTGGCCAAGTGGCGGACTACCTCATAGCCAATTCCCCTGCCTCCTCCTGTCACTATGGCGACCTTGCCATCTTGTCTGGGCATCACTGGTGAGTCAGAAAAGAACACAAATCAGATAAATGTACCTACAATTAAGATTTGTTTGTGTTTAAATGGTCTGAACTAACTAATGAATGTTATAAAACAGTATTGGTAACACTTTACAATAAAGGTAATTTTATTAACATTACCTAGTGCATTATTAAGCATTGAGAAACAAAGGATCCAGTTATTGTTAGCTATTAGGTATCCTCAAGGTTAGTACAAAGGGCCATGGGAGGGGGGTGTCTGCTTAGTAATGCATTACGTAATATGGTTAAGCAGTTAGTACTTTATTAAAACGTTAATACTTAATAATGCACTATCATTAATAAAGGTAGACTTATTGTGAAGTGCTACCACAGAAGCTATTAACAATTCGACATTTATATACACTATATAAATAAAAGTGACCACCATCTAGTTAGATTGGTTTTGGCAACAGTTTTAATATTTATCCTATCAAATGAACTTACATATGTCTTGGCTGGCAATGAACAAAAAAATCCCCAAATATGCTATTTTATACGAAATATTATTATATCCCAATAGATAATGAATAAAAGTACAAAATACGGAACACCTAAAGGTAAACAATGGATTAAATAAGGTGCACCTGAACAAAGTGGATGATGCTGAGCCCAGCATAACAAAAGCTGCATTGTAAAAAATTAGACATTTAAACTTGCGTCGCTGTTTGGCCGAATTAAATTCGCCCAAGACTAAATGCTTGGTGTGTTACGGCATAACGGTTATTCCGGTTAATTCGGCATGAAAAAAACATCAGCAAGACCTTTTAAAAGGAAAAATTTTCCCGTTTTTTCTTAACTAGCTAACATGCTATTAGCTTAGATCCGCAGCAACTGGAGCTCATCACGAAGGTTCCGATCTTTCGACTCGTGAACAAAACTCCATCATTACCATGACTTATACAGTCAGACTAAATCAACGACCGACATCATGCAGCTGGCAAAGTTTCGTCTTACAGTAAACAACGAAGAAATAAACTAACCTGGTAGCCTCAACGGCTTGTTTGACAGCTGAGCTAAAAGAACTCTGAAACCGAGCAGGTAAAGTTTAACAGCGGATAGAAGACAGAAGAAAAAATTAGACAACATTGTTGTCAGAATGTCTAATGGTGCCCAGAGAGAGCAGCCCATCGACCAGCAGCCAGAGAAATCAGAGAACTTAAAAAGGCACACGCCCCACTTTGGGCCGCATTCCAATATGAAGTTTTACATCCTTATCAGTCCCAGATTGGATGTCTAATTTTAATGCGAAATTATTAATCATCATCCCTTTTGACCAAGAAATATATGATACCTTTAAAGACACACACAACACACTTCCTTGCGCCTTCGGGTCGGGGAACGGGTCCTGACTGTTGTTTGTGCTTATGGGCCAAATATCAGTTCAGAGTACCCACCCTTTTTGGAGTCCCTGGGACGAGTGCTAGATAGTGCTCCATCAGGGGACTCCATTGTCCTGCTGGGGGACTTCAATGCTCACGTGGGCAATGACAGCTTGACCTGGAGGGGTGTGATTGGGAGGAACGGCCCACCTGATCAGAACTCGAGCGGTGTTTTGTTATTGGACTTCTGTGCAAGCCGCAGTTTGGCCATAACGAACACCATGTTCGAACATAAGGATGCCCACCGGTACACTTGGTACCAGGGCAGCCTAGGTCACAGGTCGATGATAGATTTTGTAGTCGTATCATCTGACCTGCGACCGTATGTTTTGGACACCCGAGTGAAGAGAGGGGCGGAGCTGTCAACTGATCACCACCTGGTGGTGAGTTGGATCAGATGGCAAGGGAACATGCCGCGTAGACCTGGCAGACCCAAACGCATAGTGAGGGTCTGCTGGGAACGCCTGGCAGAAGAACCTGTCAAGACGGTCTTCAACTCCCACCTCCGGCAGAGCTTTGACCACGTCCCGAGAGCAGTGGGGGACATTGAGTCCGAGTGGGCCTTGTTCCACTCTGCGATTGTCGAGGCGGCTGTTGCTAGCTGTGGTCGTAAGGTGGCCGGTGCCAGTCGTGGTGGCAACCCCCGTACCCGCTGGTGGACACCAGAGGTTCGGGGAGCCGTCAGGCTGAAGAAGGAGGCCTACAGGGCGTGGCTGGTCTGTGGGTCTCCGGAGGCAGCAGACAGGTACCGGATAGCCAAGCGGGGTGCAGCAGTGGCAGTTGCCGAGGCAAAATCTCGGGCGTGGGAGGAGTTTGGTGAGGCCATGGAGAAAGACTATCGATCGGCTCCAAAGAGGTTCTGGCAAACTGTCCGGCGCCTCAGGAGAGGAAGGCAGCAACTCGCTCACACTGTTTACAGTGGGGATGGGGAGCTGCTGACGTCAACTGAGGCTATAGTCGGACGGTGGAAGGAATACTTTGAGGAGCTCCTCAATCCCACCAATGCGCATTCCGAGGAGGAACCAGAGCTGGGAGGCCTGGGGATGGACTGTCCGATCTCGGGGGCAGAAGTTGCTGAGGTAGTCAAACAACTACACAGCGGCGGAGCCCCGGGGGCGGATGAGGTTCGTCCTGGGTATCTTAAGGCTATGGATGTTGTAGGGCTGTCATGGTTGACACGTCTCTACAACATTGCGTGGTCATCGGGGGCAGTTCCTAGGGAGTGGCAGACCGGGGTGGTGGTCCCCATCTTTAAGAAGGGTGACCTGAGGGTGTGTTCCAACTATAGGGGGATCACACTCCTCAGCCTCCCTGGAAAGGTCTACTCCAAGGTACTGGAGAGGAGGGTCCGATCGATAGTTGAATCTCAGATAGAGGAGGAGCAATGTGGTTTTCGTCCTGGCCGTGGAACTGTGGACCAGCTCTATACCCTTGCAAGGGTGATGGAGGGGGCATGGGAGTTTGCCCAACCAATCCACATGTGCTTTGTGGATTTGGAGAAGGCTTATGACCGTGTCCCCAGGGGCACCCTGTGGGGGACGCTCCAGGAGTATGGGGTGGGTGGCTTTCTGTTAAGGGCCATTCAGTCCCTTTACCAGAGGAGCGTGAGTTTGGTCCGCATAGCCGGTAGTAAGTCGGACCTGTTCCCAGTGAGGGTTGGACTCCGCCAGGGCTGCCCTTTGTCACCGGTTCTGTTCATCACTTTTATGGACAGAATTTCTAGACGCAGCCGTGGTGTGGAGTGTGTCGAGTTTGGTGGCAGGAGAATCTCGTCTCTGCTTTTTGCGGATGATGTGGTCCTCCTAGCTTCATCCAGCTCTGACCTTCAGCTCTTGCTGGGTAGGTTCGCGGCCGAATGTGAAGCGGCTGGGATGAGGATCAGCACCTCCAAATCTGAGACCATGGTTCTCGACCGGAAAAGGGTGGCTTGCCACCTCCGGGTCGGGGGAGAGGTCCTACCTCAGGTGGAGGAGTTTAAGTATCTCGGGGTCTTGTTCACGAGTGAGGGTAGGAGGGATCGGGAGATCGACAGGCGGATTGGTTCGGCGTCTGCAGTGATGCGGACGCTGAGCCGATCTGTCGTGGGGAAGAGGGAGCTGAGCCAGAAAGCCAGGCTCTCGATTTACCGGTCGATCTACGTCCCAATCCTCACCTATGGTCATGAGCTTTGGGTAATGACCGAAAGAACGAGATCGCGGATACAAGCGGCCGAAATGAGTTTCCTCCGTAGGGTGGCCGGGCTCAGCCTTAGAGATAGGGTGAGGAGCTCGGACATTCGGGAGGGACTCGGAGTAGAACCGCTGCTCCTCCGGATCGAAAGGAGCCAGTTGAGGTGGTTTGGGCATCTGGTCAGGATGCCTCCTGGACGCCTCCCTGGGGAGGTGTTTCGGGCATGTCCTGCCGGCAGAAGGCCCCCGGGTCGACCCAGGACACGTTGGAGAAGTTACATCTCCAATCTGGTCCGGGAACGCCTTGGGGTCCTGCCGGAGGAGCTGGTGGACAAGGCCGGGGAGAGGACGGCCTGGAGCTCCCTAGTTGGGATGCTGCCCCCGCGACCCGGACCCGGATAAGCGGAGGAAGACGAGACGAGACGAGACCTTTAAAGACATCCATCATTTGGCTGTAAAGCTTAAAAAAGAATGAATAATTATGCTTCTGCATGACGTGCTGTATGATCCTGCTCTGCAGATCCAGCTTATTTCCTCCTTCAGCTCACTGACTACTTCACTAACTGCTGCCAGATAGATCACATACTTCAGAATCAACAGGCATTTGACACTCCAGCCTGATCCATAATTTCCCAAGGCGGGCTTCTGAGAGCGTGTGTCTGGAGCAATGCAGCTTCTGCAGGCAGCATTGTGTTACACTGACTTTTGACTGACTGACTGCTAGACAGGCTATTAGTTTTTCTTCTCTTGGGATCATTTGAATCTGTCACAGTAGTCTGCTCTTAATGCAGACAGTAAAAAAAATAGTTACTAGTTAAAAAAGACCTCTGCAGACTGCACAGAGTTCCCTTGACAAATATGCACACTGAGTCACTGTTTGACCACTACATTTGATCTGTCACACAAGAGAATTGCTGGTGATCTGGGAACACGCTAGTGTCCAGACTGGAGAAGTTCTGATGTATGATTAATCTATAACACAATTTAGTGATGTGCTATTATTTATTTATTTATTTATTTGTGTATTTATTTATTTATTGCCAAACATCTCTTAAAGCAGCAATCCAGAGATTTCCCCTTGTCAAGAATTATGTATGATTCTTTTATATAAATTTGTAAAAGTGATAGTCTTACCCTGTGATATAATGTGGGCAATATATATTTTTTTTCTTTTTTGTCAAGCCCACCACCACCCCATGCAATTTTACTTAGTCAAGCTAGGTTTTGAACGCAAAACGTGTCACGTAACACCAGAAACCCGTGATGCCAGAGGACACGAGATAGTGCTAAACACCATTTTCTAGGTCTTTTGTTGTCTGTGACTTCAAACTGTGTTTTTCTTTTTGGGACTCTGATAGTTTGTCTAAGAGCTAGCAGCCAGCCGTTTCTCCTTCTCTGATTCTATGGAGCGGAGAACTTTCACACCAGT